TTTACAACATTTGGCAAGTGAATATTAGATTTTCTAAAAGGATCATTCCAGAATGTTTTGATTCATTCTTCTTTGTATTTACAAAAGTAGTACAAAACTAATAATGAATTAAAGGTTTGGTGATGGGGGGCAGGGAGACAGTATGTTCACAACTATAATTAAGGAGAAAAACACTTTTATGTTTATTTTTTCCACTCACATTCAATTTAAAATGGAAATACATATGTCTGTGAGATTCAAATATGTTTGACAAGAGACAACAGCAGCAGGTAAGTATGGTGAAAAAGCAGCATTAATAAAAATATTTCTGCCATAATAGCCTACCAAATGATCACTTTCAAAAATTTGTAAGAAGTGCCCCGTATGTTTTTTTAGAGTGTTTACCTACGTAATCTCCCCCCTCCCAAACTTTCTGAATTGATAAAATACATGGCAAGTGCTAGTTGGTTGGTGGTTTGGATTGTTTTGAATGTTTGGATTGTTTTTAATGTTACAAACAGCAAATTTCAGTGGAGTATCTGTTCTTCAAAAAGCCTTTACAAATTTCTGATACTAGACAATTCAGTAAGAATATACCACCAGACAATTTTAAATGTTTATTATGAAATAAACTTGATAATTGTTCCGATATTGTGTTCTGTTTATTGAAAAGCTAAAAGATCTATTTGAAGTTCCGTGCAATGGGGGGGGGGGCAAAATAATGTGCTTAAGAAATACTTTCAAATACCCAAGAAAGAAATACCCATGATTGAAATTTGTTCTTCCCAAATGAAATTCAGCTTTCAGAAGATACCATTTGGAACCAAGAGGTTGCTTGTCAATGACAGATGGAGTTCTTAGAGAGAAATCTAATACTACTGTTGCTCTCTCTGAGGGCCTACTGCAAAGGTGCCTATTTTATTCTAATGCTGTTTATAGGGGCAAAACCCCCAAATATCTTAGGCTTAATAATAGTGCTAGACAAGATATGTTAGCTCATAAACATGTTGCTGACTTTTAGGGAAAAGTGGCTATGGATTTCTTCCATTACCATCAATAGGAGAGAATTAAATCTGCCAACTCCTAAATTTGCATATCTTTTGACCTATATTGTAGAGCAGAGGTGGGGAATTGTGGCCTTTTTGATGACTTGTGGATTTCAACTCCCAAAATTCTTGAGCCAGCATAGCTGCCTCTGCTCCCAGAGACTTGTGGACTCCCAGAGATTTTTGGACTGCTGTGAACTGTGGACAGCCATAATTCCCCAACTGTTTCCAGAGAGTTGTGGACTACAACTCCCAGAATTCTCAAGCCAGCATAAGGGCCATAATTCCCCACCCCTTTTGTTCCTTTTGTAGAGGAACAAAAGTATCTGGAATCAAGCGGATCTAAGGCATTTTCCTGCCACACTATTTCCCCACTTTTCATCATCTTAGCATCAGTAACAAAGGTGGGATGATGGTGAGGTATCTACAGAGACTAGGTTTCTGAGAGTGGGTTTCCTTTTATATTCATGGACTTCTCCCTACTCATAAAGACATTTATAAGATACAGGAGCCATTTCCTTGTGATCACTGAAATTTAGTAGTAAAAGAAGATCAAAAAGGAGGAGCTCCGATTTGCTTGATATATAGGTCCATTTGTTGTTGTACTGTTTTTCTTTTGTTTCCATTTGAGGAGATACAACCATTAAAGATGTTAATTGTAACTTCTGTTGCATGTATTTATTTTTATTTATTTAAGATTTAAATCTGAATTTAACATTGGCATTTGAGCCAACTTTTGTTTCTGTAATATTGAAAAGGGGAGATTGTTATTAGTTGAACGAGGCAAAACAAATTAATTGTCTTGAAGCTATTTTTTATCTTTCATTTTCCCTTTGGGGAGGATATCTTTTTGCGTCCAGAAATCAGCCATATTTCCAAATTCATCTACTTCTATACATATGCAAAACCATATTGCTCCATTCGTCAAAGCCAAGAGAACTCTAAATTCACAAGTGTATCTATATTTTTGTTCATCCCAAACCAAATGAGGACAGAGATACAGCTACATTCCAAAAGTATATCAGTGTTTGGGATGGTCAAATGTTCTTTCAGTCTTCCAGTTTGGCTGAGATTTGATAACATTCTAGCCAACAATTTTGGCAGCATCAAATGCCCATGTGCACCAGAAAGGTCATTCCTCTCTATTAATAGAAAGATAGATTTATATGATCATTAAAAAAACTTCTTGAGAGCCAGTTTGATGTAATGGTTAAGGCATCATGCTAGAAACTTTTAAGACTGTGAATTCTATCCCACCTTGGACACAAAGCCAGCTGGGCACCCTCAGGCCAGTCACTTTCCCTAGCCTTATGAAGGAGGCAATGGTAAACCACTTCTGAAAAAAATCTTACCAAGAAAATGAAGGGACGTGTCCAGACAGTCTCTGAGAATTGGATACAATTGAACAGAATGAAAAAAACACATTTTAACCTTCAGTACCCGCAATCCTTATGCAAAAAAAAAAAGTAAGATGATTGTAGCTTGTAACACATTTGTAAAATAAAATTATTTTTTTTTTCATTCTTTAGATTTTGTATCAATTCAGGAAGATGGGAAGGAAAACTGATGTACCCCCAAAAATGATTTCACAAATTAAGTCATTTACTGAATGTGTTTAATTTTAACAACCAAAAAATTCTAACAGACTAACAATGCACATAAGTTAAAATTTAATTATCACTTAGTGATAACAAAGATCAAGTTGATTTACATGGAAAAAGAACATTTACAATATGGTAATCCTCATTCACATTGTTGATACCGCAATAACACCATTTTTTTTTTTTTTAGTTTTCTCTTACTTCACGAAAAGGCGGAAAATTGTGCTTTGTTAAGAGGCACTACAAGAAAAAATTCTTTTTCCAAATAGATATAATATGATGAATATTGAATAAATAGACATATATGCATTGTAATTCGCTAAAGTTCTGGCAAGACCACAGGCGAAAATGCCCACAGATTCACTTAAAAGAATCACTGCAAAACTGACAGTGAAATTTAAAATAAAAAGGCAAGATTCAGCATTGAAAAAAATACCTACTAAATTTTTGGTTGAAATGTTGTTGTTTTTTTAAAAAAACCAATGCTGATGCCATCAAAGAGATGAATAACCTTATGAGAGATTGACCGATATTACATTTATGTACTGATTTCAACAACAGTATTTCAGAGAAGAATCTGAAAAATTAATTTGAAGGAGAACATAAACCAGTGCCTTCTGAAATGTTGATTAAAGCTGCAGCATACTACAGAAATAAAGTATGAAGAGTCAGCAAGCCAACATTTTTTTTAAGGATATAGAAAATGGACACAGCTACAGATTTGTTGATGTCAAATACTGATTTTGGAGAAGCCCCTTTAAAAAACTTTAGAGGTTACTGAGCAGCTAAAATTAGCTTGTATTGCAACACATCATCTCCCTGTTAGGTTGTTAATGCTTTGAGTAATATTTATACAGAGGTTTGCTTTAATGACTGCCTTTTATACCTTTCAAATATATAAATAGTATTAACAGTTATATATTACAACGCCTGTGCAAGAACATAAAATAGATTTCCAAGTGATATTGCATGAGGTCTTTGTTAAAAGTTACAAAGCACATGTCAAGAAAGAAATCAGAAGTGGGCAAAGCAACTTAGACTCATTAGAAAGTCATACTACCCTTTCAAAAAATATCATGTGGACAAGGAGCTGAACACTGCTTGTTTCAGAACCATGGCTTCAAAAATTGGTTGGAAACTATAGTAGATTGCAGCTTTAATGCTTATACTATTGAAGAGTCAGTCAGCATTAGTTCTGCTATATGTAATGGAATTGCTATGCTAGGTCACTGGGAAAAGGTTTCCGTTAGTGTCAAGGAAGTGACTAAATAGAAACTGCTTGACTTTTTCCCACTGCCTAGAAGTGCAGCAAGTTTAGAACATTTGTTCCCACAAACTTTGCCATGCATTACATGAAAAACATACCTTGGGAGACTGCTGGCTGAAAGTTTTGTCTTACTGAGATCATGAGCCTTATGCACAAAGCTCCAAATGTAGTACAGGAATAATAAAACGCAAACAAAGGAGGTACAAAAGGAAATTCAGCACTGGAGAACTGTCAGACTCTTTGACTGACTAACATGTCAAACATGCCCGAAATAACTGTGATTCGTTGTTGTTTTTAAATCATTCATAAAACCTTTGTTGAAAAGCAACATCAACATACCTAAACAACAATTTTCCTAACATCAATATCAGACGAAAACTAAAGGAGCAAGGGAGGAACTGCAGCTGCACAAGTCTCACTGAAATTAATAAAAAGTGGTGCAACAACAGTGTAGATGATTTGCGCATTCGAAGAACAATACCACTATAAACTGTGGCTCAATATAAAAATCCACACAATAAATCTTGTAAAGCAACTGCTCATGAAGACCTCATTAAGAGACAAGTCTACTGTGCGCTGAACTTTCACTGAAAAGTCCATGAAAATCCATCTGTTTGCTACAGAAATAATATAGAACAAAAGATGCTCTGTGAATTTAAATGTGCATTGTGTACTAAAGTTTGTTTAGAAGTTACTTGGCTTAAAATTATTTTTAAGGTGCCCTGATTTTGTCCCTCATCTTCTCACTCCCTGTTTTATTATTTCTGGCAGTGTTGATTTAGGATTTTTAAAATGCATACCTCAAAAAATTACCCCTCAAGCTGCCAAAGTGGAAGCCATACTAATAATTTAAAAAATCAGGGATAAACATAGAAAATAAATAGATATTCAAAACAGTAACCACACCCTGAGAGCAGGCAGCAATTTATCTAAAAGCCAAAGCGACTGATTGTGAAGTGGTTTATATAAACAAGACTCATCTTTTAACGAGCTGATTTCACAGTCTATACTTTCTGATTGTAAAGTTTACTTACATCCCATGCAAATTTCATATATATATATATATATATATATATATATATATATATATATATATATATAATCACACTTATATATGGTGCATATTATATACACACCACACATCTGCACACTGTTATTGTTTCCTTCATTGATCTCATAAGTTGTTTCTTCCTGTAACTTGCTTGCTAGAGGGTCCTTTCGTAAGTGCAAGATTAATAATGATGTAATCCTATGTGAATTACAATTAACTGTCTCAATAAAACATAAAAAAGTGTAACACTCAAGTGCCTGTTACAAGGGAATGTCTGATTGAGCTATGCAAAATAATTGTTCAATTTGCACGTATTCTATGCACGCTGGAAAATTCCAACTTTTTTTTTTCTGAAAGAAGCAAAATAAAAAATAAAAAAATTGGAACCATGTATTGCTTTGCCTGTGATATTTTCACATTATCTCTGTTCAGTCTCTGAAGTAGTTGCTTTGTTTTTTTCTGAATTCTCTTCTTCAGTTTCCACTTTGTACATTTCCTCAGAACCCTCCTCACTGTCATTCTCCTCTGACTCAGTCAGCAGCTCTTCATCTTTATACTCTGCCACATCCACCACTGTACCCAAATGCTCTTTTAGTTTCCCATGATGCTTTACATGGTAACGCTGGTTCTGGAAGAATTTGATAATGGTGTGCTTAGGCAGATCCAACTGGGCAGATAAAGTGTGGATGGCCTCCTGGTCTGGATAAAGGCCAACATCATGGATGAAACTCTGAAGGATACCCAAAGCCTCTAATGAAATCTTAGTACGGGATCTTGGCTTTTTTGTAGATGCATCCTCTGCAGGAGGGGGAGGAGCCTCTTCTCTTGGTGGGGAGTTTTCCTTTGCTGGCTGAGATTGCTGTCTATGAAGTACCTGCAAAACAGACAGATTTACATATTTAATAAAAGTTATGTTCACACGAATCTAGCTCATTGTTAATCAAATTGGTATCTTTCCATTTATCCATGGTAGTCAAATAGTTATATGTTAAAAAGAGCTCATTTTATTGGTTCCATACATAGGCCCATATGAGCAGAGAGAATTGAAAGAAATTTGCTAGGCTGAAGCAATGAAGACTTACTATTTCTGATTTACAGCTTAAGTATATTCACTAAAAAAAACATGGGATAAGCGAAAAGAAGCCTTGAGTCAGAAGAAAAAGCATATTCAAAGAATAAGGAATTATCTCTGCTCTGCCTCGTCAGAGGATGAGTTCCATAATGTTTTTTTAAATTAAATCTAAAGATAAATTTTGGTTCTAGATATGGATCTTTGGCATTGAGCTTAAAATCGTAGGATTGTTTTGCTGTTGAATCATTTATATGTACCATTAATGGTATAAGACCTATAACACATTATTTGCTTTCATTTCTTTCCTTTTAATACTCAGACATGGTTTAGGTGTATGTATGTATATGAATAAATGTTAAAAAAGAGCTGTGCTGAATCAGAGAAAATGCCCATCTGTTCCAGAATTCTATTTGTGCAACAGTTCCAATTTACAGAAAGCCCTCAAGCAAGATATAAGCAACCAGTATCCAGAAACAAACTGTCTCTGATCCTGGAGGTAATCAGGCTGACATGCTCTAACTGCAGCATTCTATGATTTCTTTTTAATTCAGTTGTTTACCAGGTAGATGGTGAAATTGTTGAATTGTACAGAATTTCTTTTCATTACTTTTCACATTTTTCTTTTGCAACACTTTAATTCACAAAGCAAATTATGACAATATTTGCAGTGATCACTAATGCAGAAAACAGGAAAATATGTTTTATAGAGCTTATGATCTATTATGTCAAGCAATACGCCAGTAATAAGACTAGAATAAAATGTCACAACTGGAAATAAATGTTCCAGAAGTTTTGCACCTTCACTTTTCAATGTGTGGTCCAGTGATGTATTACACAGAAAGGAAAGAAGGCAGACAAGCAAGCAGGAAGGCAGATTTCAATTCTAAAACTAAGTTGTTGCTACAAGGCAGGTCCTACACTCTTCAACTTTAAGGGTAACATATTACAATTCTTTTATTTAAAAATGGACATTGATGTCATCTGCTAAAATTAATTGGCTCAGAAAAATTATGTTGTTATATATTCTAGTAATAAGTTAAATAAGTAATAAAAAGACTAAATAGGAGCCTATTTTCAAAACAACACTTGTTATGAGATCTATTAGTTTAATAGTGGATAATCACTTTTAAAGGCAGTCTCCTAAAATCAATCTAATTTTTCAAAATCATAGGGTAACAAAGCAGCACTGGTCTTAATCATCAGCTGGAAAGAAGGCATCTATTTCAAGATGGATCATCACCTCATTGTACAAAGAAGTGTATACATGTGTTAATTATCTTACTGTTATGCTATGTAGAGGATGTATAAGCCACTTTTAAAGATTAGTGTTTTTTTCCAGAGTTGCTTACCCTCTGGTAAGAAACAGCTCTGACAGTATGGCAAATAAAAGTAACATATCTTTATAAAATCCAATAGTAGACATGCACTTTGACATCAATAGTGGCAAAAACTACTTGTAGGTCATGTAATGAAATTTGGGACTCTTAGAGACTTCTTTTAGGATATATGTTCTGCCTTCAGGCAGAACTTGCTGGGAAAGCCTGGCATCTATAATCTTATAATAAGGTTCTACATTTAGGCAAGAAAAACCAAATGTATAGGTATAGTATACGGCAGTGGTTCTCAACCTTTTTAATGCCGCGATCCCCAACTGGTCGTAAGTCGAGGACTACTCAACCAGTCGTAAGTCGAGGACTACTCAACTGGTGCAGCACCGTTTGCAGAATGGGACTTTTGGAGGGCTCAGCAGGGCAGAGACAGCCTGGACAATTCCTATTGGCTTTTGAAAGCCAATAGATTAGACTCTATTCAAGAGAGTCTATTCTATTGGCTTTCAAAAGCCAATAGAATAAAAGGGAGTAGCACAGCTAAGGAAAAGGGGAAAAAATGGCGGACTGCGTTGTTTGGCGACCCCCATGAAATGGTTGTTCGACCCCAAATGGGGTCCCGACCCACAGGTTGAGAACCACTGGTATAGGGGGTACCTTGCTCAATAGTAGTAACTGTGAGAGGGATCTCGGAGTCCTAGTGGACAATCATTTAAATGAGCCAGCCGTGTGCTGCAGCTGCCAAAAAAGCCAACACAGTGCTAGGCTGCATTAACAGAGGGATAGAATCAAGATCACGTGAAGTATTAATATCACTCTACAATGCCTTGGTAAGGCCACACTTGGAATACTGCATCCAGTTTTGGTCACCACGATGTAAAAAAGATGTTGAGACTCTAGAAAGAGTACAGAGAAGAGCAACAAAGATGATTAGGGGACTGGAGGCTAAAACATATAAGGAAAGGTTGATGGAATTGGGTATGTCTAGTTTAATGAAGAGAAGGACGAGGGGGGACATGATAGCAGTGTTCCAATATCTCAGGGGTGTCACAGAGAGAGAGGGAGTCAAGTTATTTTCCAAAGCGCCTGAAGGCAGGACAAGAAGCAACGGATGGAAACTAATCAAGGAGAGAAGCAACCTAGAACTAAGAAGAAATTTCCTGACAGTTAGAACAATTAACCAGTGGAACAACCTGCCTCCAGAAGCAGTGAATGCTCCAACACTGGAAGTTTTTAAGAAGAAACTGGACAGCCATTTGTCCGAAATGGTATAGGGTTACCTGCCTGAGCAGGGGGTTGGACTAGATGATCTCCAAGGTCCCTTCCAACTTTATTATAATTATTATTATTAATTATTATTAATTATTATTATTATTGTTGTTGTTATTGTTATTATTATTATTATTATAGTTTGATTTAGTTTTTTCCGAAGGCCTCAATAGGGCATACTTATTTTTCAAATGACTGCACTTACTTAAGATGTTTCCTCTCCCCCCCCATTTTTATTCAACTATATTTAAAGACCACGTTAAGTGAAAATACTTCAACTTCAAGTAAAGCATGACTATCAATTATCTGTACTTTTCACTATATTTGACTGGTAGAAACCCAAATCTCAATAAAGTTATGCACATCTACAGATGACAGTTCAGCCTATCATGGTTATTGATGTTAAGAAAGAACATCAGAATTGATTATTAATTGTTGCCTTAGGGCTATATAGGAAGTGAAAATTGATAATGTATTTGTTGACTTATACTGAAACTTTATATTCTAAGCCAGAGATGTCAAACTTGCAACGTCACGTGACGTCGCGCAACGTATCAGAGCTTTTTCCCGATTGCCGGCAATGGGGTGGGCGCGGTTTCCTGGTGACGTGTCCAGCCTACGGGCTGGCAGTTTGACTGCCCTGCTCTAAGCAGTAGGACTAATAATTTGACATAAAATTATTTATTTAAGCATGTTGGATTTTTCCCACCCCCATTTTGTAGATTGTTAATTTCAAGCCCCCACTCACCCTGTTAAAAGAGAAGAAATATATATTAACATAATGCTATGGGGAAAAAAATGAGGGTTCAACTACCCATTTTGCCTCACAGACTGAAAAATCTGCCTTCCTCTTTTGGTATCAGTTACTTGTTTTTGGTGGCTTGTATTAAATCAGAGTTACCAATTATTCTGAATTTCAGCATTGTTATCAAGGAAAGTAAGTCAAATTTCTTACAGCATGTATAAACAAGAAGCAAAAGTGACAGTTGTATCTGAGCTGAATCTTGCATCCACTACAAGTTGTCATTGATTGAGTATAAACAGCAAAGCCCAAAAGGATTGTATAAAAGCAGACTGTAACTTAAATACAATATATTGTTTATAAATAGGTCAACTCTCTTCATTTATTTTTAAGTAATTTAGGATTATAATTCAAACATGGCTTTGATTTTAAGCTTTCTACTTTCACTCCTCCCTCTACCCCTTCATTAAGCACATGAGTTTTCTCTGCAATTGTGACCATCTGGAATTGACTTCCTATTTTTTCCTCAAATCATTTCCCATCTCCTTGCAAATCTGAACTGAAACATGTTTTCTACCCTAGCCACAGGTCTCAAATGTTTCTGTTTCCTTAATGCATTTCCACTTTAATGTTAAGGCAATACTGCATACATACTTGTACACAAATGACAATGGACAAAACTGTTTTGTTTATTAAAAATTGACTTTTCTTAGGTATTAATGTTCACTTTTTGAGGTATTAACTTATTCAGTAGAAAATGTACAGATACCTAACATGATGAAAGCTGACTTTAAAAAGATAAGTGACTTCTATTAAATCATACAACACTGCAATATGTTTTGAAGGCCACAATGAAATCCAGCTGGGAACCATGTGTAAAAAATAACAGTACACGCCTGCAGGGAAGGAAGTATGATATGGAATGATTACATTTAGGAAAACATATAATGTTGTATATCATTATGGGAATGATCTGTATTAGTTGTAATAAACTACGGCAGTGGTTTCAAACTATATTCCTGGAAAACCTGTAGTTCCTGGTAAAGATATTTCAACTTCCTCAGTAAGAAGATTGGCAAATGGTTGGAGTCAATTTATACACAATAACTGATTTTTCTCTGCTATCATAGCTAATAAAAAATATTTACTACAGAGTTGATATTAGCACAGGATAGTCTCTGCTTCCACTCTTTTAATTAATAAAATCTTTCCTGCAATATAATTGTTAGTAATGGCACAGTGTATGTAACCAAAATTTTACTAACTCACACACTGTGTATGTGTGTGTGTGTGTGTGTGTGTGTGAGAGAGAGAGAGAGAGAGAGAGAGAGAGAGAGAGAGAGAGAGAGAAAGAGAGAGAGAGAGAGAGAGATGCTTCCATATTCCTAGACAGGGAGAAACCTGTGATCACATGCCCTGGCATGCCATTGTCTTGTTTGCTGGTTGGTCTTAGTATCTTAAAC